CAACGAATGAAAGGAAAGTGATGGCGAAAGAAGATACATATTCAGATGTGAAAGAGAATGTTGAATATTGCAATTCATTAAGAATGAAGGATGGAAAACACCCACTTAAAGGGAGAAATAGTTACAGTCTTCAAAATGGTGATGACAGTCATGATATTCCAGTACTACAAAAAATATACAAAAGAGACAATAGGAATGAGAAAATTGCAAATGGAGAAGGATTTTTTGAAAAATCAGATATTATTATGCATTGGAATGCCCATAAGAGAAAGAAAATATTTACATGCCTGAAGTATGCAAAAAACCTTCATCAAAGTAAAAACCTTACTTCCGATTACACAGGGGAGAAAAAATATAAATGCCAGGAATGTGGGAAAAACTTCAGTCTGAGTTGGCACCTTAATTCACATCAAAGGATTCACACAGGGGAGAAACCATATAAATGCTTGGAGTGTGGAAAAAGCTTCAGTCAGAGTGGAAACCTTGCTTCCCATCAAAGAATTCACACAGGAGAGAAAAAATATAAATGTCCAGAATGTGGCAAAACCTTTAGTCAAAATGCACACCTTATTTCCCATCAAAGAATTCACACAGGGGAGAAACCATATAAATGCACGGAGTGTGGGAAAAGCTTCAGTCAGAGTGGAAATCTTACTTTACATCAAAGAACTCACACACAGGAGAAACCCTATAAATGCCTGGAGTGTGGAAAAAGCTTTAGTCACAGTGGAAGCCTTACTTCTCATCAAAGAACACACACGGGGGAGAAACCCTATAAATGCCTGGAGTGCGGAAAAAACTTCAGTAACAGCAGACACCTTACTTCCCATCAAAGAATTCATACCGGGGAGAAAAAGTATCAATGCTTGGAGTGTGGGAAAAGGTTTGGTCAGAGTGGAAGCCTTACTTCCCATCAAAGGATTCACACAGGTGAGAAACCATATAAATGCATGGAGTGTGGAAAAGCCTTCAGTCAGATTACACACCTTACTTCCCATTACCGAATCCACACAGGGGAGAAACCATATAAATGCTTAACATGTGGGAAAAGCTTCAGTAACAGTGGATATCTTACTTCCCATCAAAGAATTCACAGTGGGAAGAAACCATATAAATGCCTTGAGTGTGGAAAAAGCTTTGGACGGAGAGACAGCCTAATTTCCCATCAAAGAATTCACACAGGGGAGAAAAAATATAAATGCCTAGAGTGTGGGAAAAGATTTAGTCAGAGTGGAAGCCTTATTTCTCATCAAAGAATACATACAGGGGAAAAACCATATAAATGCTTGGTATGTGGAAAAAACTTTAGTAATAGTGGAAGCTTTACTTCCCATCAAAGGATTCATACAAGAGCAAAACCATATAAATGCCTGGAGTGTGGAAAAACCTTCAGTAACAGCAGATGCCTCACTTCCCATCAAAGAATCCACACCGGGGCTAAACCATATAAATGCCTGGAATGTGGAAATACCTTCAGTAACAGTGGAACTCTTACTTCCCATCAAAGAGTTCACACAGGAGAGAAACCATATAAATGCCAGGAGTGTGGAAAATGCTTCAGTCAAAGTGGAACCCTTCTTTACCATCAAAGAATTCACACAGGGGAGAAACCGTATAAATGCCTAGAGTGTGGGAAATGTTTTAGTAACAGTGGATGCCTTACTTCCCATCAAAGAATTCACACAGGAGATAAACCATATAAATGTGTGAAATGTGGAAAAAGTTTCAGTAAGAGTGGAAATCTTACTTCCCATCAAAGAATTCACACAGGGGAGAAACCATATAAATGCCTCCGGTGTGGAAGAAGCTTCAGTCAGAGTGGAAATCTTGCTTCACATCAACGAACTCATATAGGGGAGGAAAACAAATAAATGCCTAATGTGTGGATAGACATTGCATCAAAACTAATTGGATTAGAAAGTTAGAAAAGCAATGCAATAAAAGAGTAGAGTACATACACTACAGCTGTGAGTTGTGATGTAATACATCAACTCAGGAGGGGTCCCCTATTAGGGATAATGTGATATTTCTTCCTGTTCTTCGATTCCAGCCCGACTAGGAATTGTTGAAGTTAGACTTAAATGTTGTTATATTTTGTGAACTTCTTGCTGATTGACTAAAGAGCTTTGTTTGTCCTTGTTATTCAATTCAAATATTTTTATCATTCAAATGTTCCTTTATTTTGTAATAGTCTTACTGATTTACTGAATAACTCTATTGTTATCCATCTTGCTTCTGAGTGACAAAGGGGGACTATAAATGAGGATAAATAAAGCTAAAACAGTTCAGAGATTAAAAACAGAACCCTACTCCCTTTATGAAATGCCCTCTTAAAGTATTTCGTTTAATGCATTTTCTGGAAGGATATAATTGTCAGAGCCTTCCTGACCTCAACAGGCAGGAAATCCCGCCAAGTGGGAGACCCAAGAGGAGAGAATCCTTCTGAGTGGGTAATTCTTGACTTCCCCCATTTTTCTTTGATGCAGTGAGTGAAACTGTCTCTGTAGTGCCTATCAAGAGAGGTGATCCTGTAGAGATGTGAATGAAAGATTTTGTGGGTAATAACTAGCACCTAGCACCTCAGATTGAACCTGAAAACCATGAGGTGACCACAGAATAGATGCAATATACTTTTTGTGCCTCACTCCTGACAGTAATCTGATTTCAAGGGTGGACCCAAGTAGATTGTAGTACAGTAGTCTAACTGCTAGGTGACTGTGGCATGTATTCATATGACCATATTGACTGACCAAGTAAAGGTAAAGAGCTGTCCTCTATGCCTAAAATCGGGCTGAAATATGGATAACCTGAGTGTGATCTGATGTCTTCCATGATCATACTGCTAGGCATAAAATTCTCCAAGCCTCATGCAAGCTGAGTGTTGAAGATTATTAGATTCAGGCTGCAGGAGGCAGTGGGACCTCTTATCAAGCAGTGAGATCAGGCGAGGAATGTGACTGTCCAGCCGGCAATGAAAATGAATACAAATAAGAGTGTTATTGGAACTCATTCAGAAACCAAGGCGTGCCACCCTGCTGTCCATTCACACAAACACATCCCGGTGGGTTGGCCAAACCCCCCAACAGAAGTGCTTTTGACATCCCAGGACAGAGAGCCCACTGACAGGAAAAGGAATTTCCCCCACCTTAATACCCCTTAGTTCTTTATAATCCTTGGCATGTCACATAATTACTCCTGGTTGTCTTGGCAGCATTAGGCAAACGGTTGTTCTCAGTGTCCCTGGCATAGAAATATGACATAGACCTTACATATAATCCACTGTGAGTGTCCCTCTAGGTTCTGTTCCAAGGGACAAACTTGTAGACATACGATAAATATATATGGACTTAGGAACAGTTCCAGTCTTGTTCACAAGAAACTGCCTCACACCATGTTGTGAATCCAGTTCTGTCAAGCCCTGAAGAGGCCCCAGTGTATTCCAGTTGTGGCCGACCACATGCACCTACATGGCAAAATCTTTCCTTCGTGTAAACTTCCCAAAACGGCTGAGAACTTAGACGAAGTGTTTTTCACTCTGTGTTCTTTTGAGCTGCTAGAGTGGAATCTTCAACGAGGCCTCCGTTACATAGAGTAATTTGGAGGGCATGGCTTTTAACTAAATGGGCTGGGTTGGTGGGAAGGAATGTTTTTAGGTAGCCATTTGCTAGTGGGCCGTGTTTTGTCTTTTTCTTGCCACTGTATCTGCTCTGAACTATTTTGTTGTTCAGCCACACAGTCGAGTCCGACTCTTCGCGACCCCGTGGACAAGATCCCGCCAGGCCCTCCTGTCTTCCGCCGTCCTCTGAAGTTTGCTCAGTTTCATGTTCGTTGCATCGATGACACTGTCTAACCATCTCATCCTTGCTCTGAACTATACAGGCTGCATTTTATTCACTGTGGGTGTGCTGCTATTTCTCTAGCAAGAGGCTCTGCCATTTTTTATGTGCATCGGTTCTAATCTGTTAATGGCTCATAGTCACTGGACTGAGTGTTCTTCAATAAACTGTAATTAGTTTCAGTTCAATGACTGCGTCTGGTACTGCTTCAGCCTGTTCCACTAGGGCAAAATGGGACCCAAATTTACACATATCGGGGGGGCCTGGTCCCTCAGACTCTGCGTTGTCTACTCTGACTGAGTAGAGGGCCAACAATTAAAACTTGATGTATAAATAATGTGTAAAAATACATGTATTTACTTATAAAAATTTAAAAACATATAGGAGCCCAATCCCACCTCATATAAATTCCAAAATCATATATACACGAGGGCTCCAGCACTCGGGCTGAAACATGTCAGATCACGTCCATTGCCCCATGTGCAGATATGATTTTGGAATTTTTACATGAGGTGGGATTGGGATCCTATATGTTTTTTAATTCTTTATAAATAAATACATGTATTTTTACACATTATACATCAAGTTTTTAATTGTTGGCTCTTTACTCAGTTTGACTTACCTTTTTAGGTTCTTGATCCTAGTTTTCAGGGTTAAGTTTGTTTCCCTGAGAGCCAGTTTAGTGTAGTGGTTAAGTGCGCGGACTCTAATCTGGGAGAGCCGGGTTTGATTCCCCACTCCTCCACTTGCACCTGCTGATGTGACCTTGGGTCAGTCACAAGCTCTGGCACAGCTGTCCTTGAAAAAGAGCCGTTTGTGTCAGAGTTCTCTCAGCCCCACCCACCTCACAGGGTGTCTGTTGTGGGGAGGGGAAGGGGAAGGAGTTTGTAAGCCGCTCTGAGACTCCAAGTGAAGGGCGGGGTATAAATCCAATCTCTTCTCTTCTTCTTATTTTTTGTTCATAGTCTACTCTGACTGGCCATGGCTCTTCAAGTCTTTTCTCAGGCTACCAGAGGCCTTGCCCAGCGTTTCTTACCACAGGATCCTTGAAGAGGCCAGAGACTCATTCTGTGACCTTCTGCTTGACCACTGAGCCATGGTTCCTACAAGTTTGGTGTAGTGGTTAAGGAGTGGCAGACTCTAATCTGGAGAACCGGGTTTGATTCCCCACTCCTCCACGTGCAGCCAGCTGGGTGACCTTGGGTCAGTCACAGTTCTCTCAGAGCTGTTCTCTCAAGAGTAGTTCTCTCAGCGCTCTCTCAGCTCCCCCTACTTCACAGGATGTCTATTGTGGGGAGAGGAAGGGAAGGAGATTGTAAGCCGCTCTGAGACTCTTGAGTGAAGGGCAGGGTATAAATCCAACTCTTCCTCTCCCTCCCTTGCCTTCCTGGGCCAAGTATTTTTGGTGCCCGAGGCAAACTGGGACTTTGTCCCCCACCCTCAGCATTCCACATAGAGGAAAACAGGAATTCAAGATGAACCGTTTCTTTCTTAGCTTTCAAAATGGAAAGTATAACAATGGATCTTTTAATTTTCCCCCAGTTAATCTTAAAACCGTTATGTTGTGCTAGAGGTGTGCACACTTCCTCCACTTGGAATATTTAACGTGGGTTGAATGCTGAATTAGCAGCTCTGACTAGGGCTGCCGTCCTCCAGGCAGGGTCGGGAACTCTCCTGGAATTACAACTGATCCCCAGACTACAGAGACCAATTTGACTGGAGACAATGGCTCCTTTGGAGGGTGACTCTATAGCATTATGTCCTGATGAGGTCTCTTCCCTTGCAAAGCCCCACCCTCCCTAGGCTGCATCCCCAGATCTCCAGGAATCTCTCAACCTAGAGTTAACAACCTTGTCAGGGATGCTGTAGGCTAATCCTGCACTGAGCAGGAAGTTGGACTAGATGGCCTGTACGGCCCCTTCCAGCTCTGTGATTCTATGATCCAGGAGGGCTCTTCTTATGTTCTTATGAAGGCCTCAGCCTCTATGCCCTGTTGTTGGCCATCCAGAGGGACTGGTTGGCCACTGTGTGAGATAGGATGCTGGAGTAGATGGACCAGATGGACCCAGCAGGGTTCTTATGTTCTCATGAAGGCCTCGACCTCTGTGCCCTGTTGGCCATCCAGAGGAACTGGTTGGCCACTGTGTGAGATAGGATGCTGGAGTAGATGGACCAGATGGACCCAGCAGGGTTCTTCTTATGTTCTCATGAAGGCCTCGACCTCTATGCCCCTGTTGTTGGCCATCCAGAGGAACTGGTTGGCCACTGTGTGAGATAGGATGCTGGAGCATATGGACTCAGCAGGATTCTTCTTATTTTCTTAATCTTGTGGTTGAGGAGCAAACACTGGCCAGGTGATATCGTGGTTTTGATGAAACAGGGAGAACACTTTGGGTAGGAACTCAAGTGGTAGTTGTAGGACTACTCTGGCGTCAAAAATTTTATGGGAAGGGGAATCATGTTGAAGAGACTGGAATTCACTGATGCTTCTGGCAGCCATAGCCACTAGAAATATAGTTTTAATGGATTGTAGGCTAACATAAGAACATAAGAGACACCAATGTTGGATCAGGCCAAAAATCCAGTCCAACACTCTGTGTCACACAGTGGCCAGAAATACCAGTGCCATCAGGAGGTCCAGCAGTGGGGCCAGGACATTAGAAGCCCTCCCACTGTTGACCCCCCCCCAAGCACCAAGAAGACAGAGCATCACTTGCCCCAGAGCCCCTATCTATACCTTGTGGGTAATAGCCATTGATGGACCTCTGCTCCATATGCCTATCTAATTCCCTTTTGAAGCCGTCCATGCTTGTAGCCGCCACCACTTCCTGTGGCAGTGAATTCCATGTGTTAATCACTCTTTCGGTTAAGAAGTACTTCCTTTTATCCGTTCTGACCCGACCGCTCAGCAATTTCATGGAGTGCCCACGGGTTCTTGTATTGTGAGAAAGGGAGAAAAGTACCTCTTTCTCTACCTGCTCTTTCCCATGCATAATCTTATAAACCTCAATCGTGTCACCCCTCAGTTGTCGTTTCTCCAAGCTAAAGAGCCCTAAGCGCCTTAACCTTTCCTCATAGGGAAAGTGTTCCAACCCTTTTATCATTCGAGTTGCCCTTTTCTGCACTTTTTCCAAAGCTATAATATCCCTTTTCAGGTGTGGTAACCAGAATTGCACACAGTATTCCAAATGAGGTCGCACCATTGATTTATATAGGGGCATTATTATATTGGCTGATCTGTTTTCAATACCCTTCCTAATAATCCCCAGCATAGCATTGGCCTTCTTTATTGCAGTCACACACTGTCTCGACATTTTCAGTGAGTTATCCACTACAACTCCAAGATCTCTCTCTTGCTCAGTCTCTGCCAGTTCAGACCCCATCAATGTGTATTTATATTTAGGATTTTTGGCTCCAATGTGCATCACCTTGCACTTGGCCACATTGAACCCCATTTGCCATGTTGACGCCCACTTGCCCATCTTTGACAGATCCCTTTGGAGTGCCTCACAATCCTCACTGGTTTTCACCACCCTGAACAACTTTGTATCATCCGCAAATTTAGCCACTTCACTGCTTACTCCCAACTCCAAATCATTAATGAACAAGTTAAAAAGCAGTGGACCAAGTACTGATCCCTGTGGTACCCCACTGCTTACCCCCCTCCACTGGGAGAACTGCCCATTTATACTCACTCTCTGTTTTCTATTAATTAGCCAGTTTTTGATCCATAAAAGGACTTGTCCTTTTATCCCATGATTTTTGAGCTTGCTTAGGAGCCTTTGATGAGGAACTTTATCAAAAGCTTTCTGGAAGTCAAGGTAAACAATATCTATCGGATCCCCCTTGGCCTTGTCCACATGTTTGTTAACCCCCTCAAAGAACACTAACAGGTTAGTGAGACAAGATCTTCCCTTACAGACCCCATGCTGAGTCTGCCTCAATAGGTTTTGTTCATCTATGTGCCTACTAATTCTTTCTTTAATAATGGTTTCCACCAATTTACCCGGTATCGACGTCAGACTGACTGGCCTGTAATTTCCCGGATCTCCTCTGGAACCCTTTTTAAAGATGGGAGTGACATTAGCTACCTTCCAGTCCTCAGGAATGGAGGCAGATTTTAAGGAAAGATTACATATTTTTGTCAGGAGATCCACAAGTTCACATTTGAGTTCTTTCAGAACTCTCGGATGTATGCCATCTGGGCCTGGTGATTTATCAGTTTTTAAGTTGTCTATCAGTTTTAGGACCTCCTCTCTCGTCACCTCAATCTGGCTCAGGTCTTTCAACACCCGAAATCAGCGGTTCTGGAGTGGGCAAGCACTTCTCATCTTCCACAGTGAAGACGGAGGCAAAAAATGCATTTAGCTTCTCAGCCATTTCCCTAGCATCCTTCAGTACTCCTTTTACCCCTTGGTCATCCAAGGGCCCCACTGCCTCCCTGGCTGGTTTCCACATCATCTCTTCACTAGCTATAAAGGTTTACAGCCAAAAGGCAAGGAAAGTGCCGGCAGCACAAACAAAACAAAGGGGGTTTAAGATCTTCCTTGAACTATCACAGCCAGTATGGCGCCCTGCTTAGAACGTCAGACTGGGACAGAGGAGATCCAGGTTCAAATCTACCATTTGCCACAGATGGTTGCCGGCTGACCTTCAGCCACTCACATGTTGCCAGCCAGACCTACCTCACAGGGTTGTTGTGAAGACAAAACGGAGGAGAGGAGAATGATGTAAGCTGCTCTGGGAGAAAGGCAGGGTTGTGACATTTGTTACATTGCTGCAGCTCTCTTAGTAAGAAGAAGAGATCTGATTTATACCTCGCCCTTCACTACCCAAAGGAGTCTCAGAGCAACTTACAATCCCTTCCCCTCCCCACAGCAAACTTGTGACTGACCCAAGGTCACACCAGCAGCTGCATGGGGGGGGGAAATCAAACTCGGTTCTCCCAGAATAGAGTCCACACTCTTAACCACTACACAAAAGAGGCACAGCAGCTCTTTCAGCATTCAGACTACCCTTAAACATCACGAGCCCAGCAAACTATGGGGATGGTGAGTGGAGCAAGCAGGGGTGGAGCCACATATACACACATGAAACTGCCTTAAACAGAATCAGACCATTGGTTTGTGTTGCCTGCTCAGACCGGCGGTGGCTGTCCAAGGTCCCAGGCAGCGGCAGAGATCTTCCTCCCTGCTCCTTGGGGGTGTATTGCATTGAATACGGCTGAGGTCTTTCCCGTCCCCAAACCCTGCTGTCCCCAGACTCCACCCCCAACTCTCCAGGCATCTCCCAACCTGCAGCTGGCAACCCTATAAAAACAATATTACTGTGTTTTTACATTATAATGGGAAGAAGAAGAAGAGATTGGATTTATACCCCGCCCTTCACTACCCGAAGGTGTCTCAGAGCAGCTTACAAACTCCTTTCCCTTCCCCTCCCCATAACAGACACCCTGTGAAGTAGGTGGGGCTGAGAGAACTCTTGACAGAAACGGCTCTTTTTCAAGAACAGCTCTTATCAGAACTATGGCTTGCCCAAGGTCATCCAGCCAGGTTCAAGTGGAGGAGTGGGGAATCAAACCCGGATCTCCCAGATTAGAGTCCGCGCACTTAACCACTACACCAAACTGGCTCTCAGAAAAGACCACTTCAGAGGATGGTATGTAGCCAAAACAGACCACTTCAGAGGATGGTATGAAGCTGTATTCTTCTGGATCGGAACTTGCAAAGGAAGAAGCAGAGCCAAGTCCCAGGACCTCTGCCAGCAGTTCAGGTGCCCCACACAGCTCAGACTTGCCCCCTGGCACCAAAGTTGAACACTGGCATAAAAAGGTGTTTAGATAGGTTAATGGAGGAGAGGTCCATCAGTGGCTGCTAGCCACAGGGAATGAAAGAAATCTTCACATTCAGAGCAGCAAATACCAGTGCAAGAAGGCAGTATCAGGAGAAGGCGTCGGCCTCTACACCCCATTTGTTGGCCTTCCAGGGCAACTGGTTGGCCAGTGTGGAACAGGATACTGGACTAGATGGACCACTGCTCCAGTCCAGCAGGTCTCCACCTTTCTTCTTATTTTCTCACCTGATGTTGCTGCAGATGGAGGCAAAAGTTGAGTCGATGCCGATTTTTGGTGGCACTGGGCAGGTCTGTGTTGTGTGGTCCTCGCAGTGCCAGCTTGTCCGAATCCGTTTCAAGGTGCTTTAAAGCCCTATGTGGCCAGGGTCCAACATACCTGAGGGACCGCCTTTCCCCACATATACCCCAGAGAGCACTGAGGTCGGGGTCACATAATCGTTTGACCCTGCCGGGCCCCAGAGAGACCAGGCTCGCCATGACGAAGGCCAGGGCTTTCTCAGTGGCGGCTCCTTACTGGTGGAATGAGCTCCCGGAGGAGAACAGGGCCCTGCGGGATCTTTTGCAGTTCCGCAGGGCCTGCAAGATGGAGCTCTTCCACCAGGCTTTCAATTAGGAGCCGCCCCAACCATTACCATCAATGAGCCCGGCCCTCAGTTTTAACATCTGGCCCGTTACATTGAGCGACTCGGAATGACACTGAGCTGGAATCTAGTTGTCGGAGACATCTTAATACGCCATCGTAAGCAACGAACTGCAGAACTGAATAGCACCTTATGTTTTTATGTTTTAACTTATTATGAAATGATGTATATTGTTTTATCGGTTTTATTGGCAATTGGGCCACTGCTGTAAGCCGCCCTGAGCCCGTTCGCGGGGAGGGCGGGGTATAAATTGAATTAATAAAATAAATCAATAAATAAAATAATTGTACCTCTGCAGGGACCACTCAGCCTGGCTTGCTCCTGGGCCATTTTAAACTGCCCCAGTCCTGCCTGTATGTGCCCAGATAACTCTTATCCAAAAGGAAACCAAAACCATGCTGCATAGCCCAGGAACCTCTTGTATTCTCGAGAGTTTTAACAAAGACACAGCACCATATAAAAATTACACTGAATGGTGGAAGTAAGTTAGAACACTAAGGGAATAGCTTAAAACAAACTAAATGGCTATAATGTTCTCTTTCTTTGTGATGGCTTGTGGCTATATCTATATCGCAGTGCAAATTAGCCACCGGTGGCAAGATAAATGCCTACTATAATACTTCCCTGATGTCCTGTACAAGGTTGAGTCCAGCAGAATTCTGCTTCTTGGACTCATTTATTTATATATAATATAATATCTGTTTGGAAAAGCATTGATAACCATCTTAGAATTTATATGATATTTTCCCTAGATAATCTTCCAGTCAGAGATTTATGTGTTTTCACATATTTATGAATGCTTTGGAAGAAAGATGCTTGCTCCATCTTGTGGGGATGGCGAATCTCTGTGAGGCATGCCCGGAGTTCAATGTTCCCGCAGGGAGATTGGGAACCAGAGTGCACAAGGTGAATATCTGCTGAGCAATGAGCTCACCATGAGAAGAGAAACTTGGCAGAGTCGGGGAAAGATAAGACGGTGAGCTGTTTGCAGTTCACATCCTGTTATTTAGTTCACAGTATGCTTGTAGCTTATAGGGAGGGGGGAGGAGAGGGGGAAGGTAATCTAATAAAACACTGCTGGCCCAGGCTGGGTCAGACAGATTTCTACAGAGCTGTGTGTCGTGTCATTCTTTGAGCCCTCAAGCCTTCAAGTGGCACCTGAACAGGGACCCTCCCCACAGGAAAGAATCCTTCTCACCAACGCCTTGCATAGGCCCCTTGAGTGCAGTCCTCGTCGTTTTTTTACGACCCTGTCATTGGTGAACATGGGTGGAAAATTAACACTGCCGCAGCAGAAGCATTTGCAAGAACTACAATTTCTAGCCCAGAAGGCGGGCCGGTCCGTGTCTTCTGCGTCCCTTACCCAACTGCTTTTGGAAATTCAGAAACAATGCCCTTGGTACCCTGAGGAGGGTTCCCTAAAACTTAAAGAATGGGAAAAGATTGGGGAGATGGCGAGCCAGCACAGGGGACAGCTGATTGGTGGAACTGGGTTGTGTGTTAGCCTCCTCATGGTGTCATTTTTTATTGTGCCCATCGGGGGTGTGTGTTGCCTTTAAAAGAACGTATGGCATTCAACATTTGGGAGTGTCTTGCTAATATTTCTAATGTTACTCATTTCTGTTTGACTAACTCCCTCTCTGCTGGTGATTTATTGGGTACCTGTTTTGTCCCGGTGTGTAAGCAACCTGCTAATATAACTACTGAGACCATGTTTTATGGGTTTCTCAATGTCATTGTGGATTATAGTACCATGGCAAATTGGGGCCCGGTTAGCCTGAGTTTACCCACATCCGCACTCTCCCTTCACACTCCCTATGTATCAGTCGATAATAATACTGAATGTGCTCGCATTGCTAATTGCACTGCCTGAACTGGGAAGCCGTGTCTTTCATTTGGCCCTGATGCATTGCATTGTCAGCAGTCCATTAATGTCTCCTTCAATTATGCTAATATTCAACTGCCTAATGGTTGGTTTTTTACATGTGGCAGCCAAACCTTTAGTTATATTCCCGCAAATTCAAGTGATGCTACTTGCTGTCTTAGTTGACTTGCTTTAGTGTTACCTCAGAACCCCTCCCGCGCTCGTTGTTCTGTTCCCCTCGACTCCTCCTGTGATTCCAAGGTGCAACTCCTTAGCAAAGCTGAATATGTGGCTCTTGCAGCCTCTCTAATGGGTATTCCGGGCCTAGCTGTTCGAACTGCTCGCAATCTTAATGAGCTCGCATGCTATGCAGTTAAAGCTATCAATGCAACTTCACAGGCCCTACCCCTCCTTAATTCTGAACAGTGTGAACTTCGTGATGCCATTTTAGATAATCGGGCAGTTCTGGATTTTCTGCTTTTCAAGCATCATCATGGCTGCTCCTCCTTTAAGAATATGTGCTGCTTCAATCTCACTGACAATAGCCGAAGCATTGAACAGCGCATCCTTGCTTTACAGAATCTCACTCAACAGATTAAACAGGATGTGGGATTTTCAGGTCTCTGGGACTGGCTTACTGGCTGGCTCCCTGATATAGGGTGGTTCAAGCAACTTTTCATTTATTGCTGTTTTTGGCTTAGCCTACCCTCTTCAGGTGTCTGTGACTTGGCCTAATACCGATCCAGATGAGTGGCCTGATGAGGCTGAGGATAGCATTCCCCTCTTGCCTGCACATTAAAACAAAAAAGGGATGACATGTGGGGACAGCAAATCTCTGTGAGGCATGCCCGGAGTTCAATGTTCCCGCAGGGAGATTGGGAACCAGAGTGCACAAGGTGAATATCTGCTGAGCGATGAGCTCACCATGAGAAGAGAAACTTGGCAGAGTCAGGGAAAGATAAGATGGTGAGCTGTTTGCAGTTCACATCCTGTTATTTAGTTCACAGTATGCTTGTAGCTTAGAGGGAGGGGGGAGGTGTGGGGGAAAGTAATCTAATAAAACACTGCTGGTCCAGGCTGGGTCAGACAGATTTCTACAGAGTGTCATTCTTTGAACCCTCAAGCCTTCACCATCTCAAGTTCTTTCCCTTTTTACACCAAGCATTTAAAGGAATCACAGAATTTTCTTCTGAGAATATTTCCTGGTGTGCATTAAGGCTTGATCGATCATAAAGGCTTATGTTGCAATTCTGAGTAGTTACACAGCTTCCTTCTTTTGCGGATTCAAGCTCGTTCCACATTTCAAGGATTAAGGATTTGCCTCCAGAGCTCAGTCTCTGGTGGCCTTTGAAGATTGTTTCATCACTAAAATTCACACTACAGTTTGACCATTTATACTGTTTCTCCACTGTGTGAATTCTTTGGTGGGAAGTAAGGTTTGTATTTTTGCGGAAGCTCCTTCCACACTCCCAGCACGTATATGGTTTCTCCCCAGTGTGAATTCTTTGATGGGAAGTAAGGTGTGTACCCCGACTGAAACTCTTTCCACACTCCAAGCATTTGTATGGTTTCTCTCCCGTGTGTATTCTTTGATGTCGAACAAGATGTGAGTTCCGACTGAAGCTCTTCCTGCATTCCAGACATTCATATGGTTTCTGTCCTGTGTGCATTCTTTGATGTGAAGTAAGGCCTGAAGTCTGACTAAAGCTCTTTCCACACTCCAGACACTCATAGGGTTTCTCACCTGTATGAATTCTCTGATGTAATGTCAGGCTGTGGCTCAAACTGAAATTCTTTCCACACTCTGTGCATGTGAATGGTTTCTCACCTGTGTGGATTTTGTGATGTGAAATAAGGTGTGCGCTCTGCCTGAAACTCTTCCCGCACACCGAGCATTTATATGGTTTCTCCCCGGTGTGGATTCTCTGATGCGAAGTCAGATCTATCCTCTGAATGAAACTCTTTCCACAATCCAAACAAGAATAAGGTTTCTCTCCTGTGTGGATCCTTTCATGTCTAATAAGTTTTTCCCTTTGACAAAAGCTCTTTCCACACTCCAAGCATTTAAATGGCTTCTCCCCTGTGTGGATTTTCCAGTGTGTGTTAAGGTTTGACTTAGAACTAAAAGTTTTCCCACATGCAGGGCACTGATTCTTTTCTTTTCCTTTGTCTGTTTTTACTTGGATTGAGTTACTACTCTGAGAAGCCAAGGGCTCATCTCGCCTTTCCTGATTTATTTCAGCTTTCAATTTCTGCTCTTTTCTTTCTATATAGCTGCCTCTCTGCAATGGCCCTCTCTGTGGTTCTTCCATCTTCCTCTTCCACCCATCACCTCCTGGAATGAAGACAGAAAATTGACATGAGAAGCGGGCACTCTAACCACAGGAAACAAACATACCTTCATTCCCACTGTAAGTATCAAAACAACATGAAACAGACAAGTCCTCCTGATTACATCCCAGGTTTTTTGATCTCCAGTTCTCCAACGCTAGTTACAGCATTTTAAAATAAAATATAAAATGTTACGTTTCCTGCCTCCCCTTTTCCATTGCCAGTAACCCTAAGGGGCAATATTTTGCTAGAAGGCTGTTCCCCTCCCCACGTCTGTGTAAGTTAAGGAAAACTTACACCGTTTTCCTAAGCAAGACTGCCAAACATAGCTGTATGCCTCCTCAAACCAATCCCTAACAGTTCACAGACTGTCTTTTTGAATTGTGGTATGGGGTGATTAGAAGCTGCGGTGGCTCAAGTAGTTAAGACGCTGAACTGCAGGCTGTGGAAGGTCGGTAGTTCAGCAGTTCGAGACCCAGGGTGCCGCATTACGGAGTGAGCTCCCGTCTCTCGTTCCAGCTCCTGCCAACCTAGCAGTTCGAAAGCAAGAAATTGCAAGTAGATAAATAGGGACCACTTCGGTGGGAAGGTCACAGCGTTCCGTGCGCCTTGGTGTTTAGTCATGCCGGCCACATGACCACGGAAACGTCTTCGGACAGCGCTGGCTCTTTGGCTTTGAAACGGGGATGAGCACCGCAACCCTAGAGTCGGATTTGACTGGCTTTCGAGCAAGGGAACCTTTACCTTTATGGTGTGATTGGCAGGTACCAGAACTGGCTACAAATCAGAGCTGTTCAGGAGAGCTTCGGAGGTAGACTGAACCTGGACAAAGTGGGAACACCCTGCTGGTTGAGGCAGATGTTGTTTTTGTGATCTATGCCTTAGTTACACCTAGACTGGGCTCTTGCAATGCATTCTACTTGGGGCCGCCCTGGAAGAGTGTTTGGAAGCTGCAATTAGTGCAGAACAGTGTTCCCTCTAAGCTGAGTTAGTGTGAGTTAGCTCAGTTTTTAGCCACCAGCTCACACATTTTGGCCTTAGCACAGGAAGGAGGGCTCCAGAGCAAACTGATTTATGCAGAAGCCATATTGCTTGCTCACAGCTTTAATGCCAGCAGCTCACAAAGTAGCATTTCTGCTCACAAGACTCCACAGCTTAGAGGGAATATTGGTGCAGAACGCTGCCCCTAGACTGCTGGTTGGTGGCAGCCGTCAGACTCATATGACCCCAACATATGGAATGTCAAAGTAGAATCTGGGAGACCCAGATCTGAATCTTCACTAACCCCTGGAAGCTTGCTGGGTGATCTTAGGCCAGTTGCGCTCTCAGTCCCCCTAACATACCTCGTAAGAGGAGAAAGCAGTGTTGTACTGGATTGTTGTTGTTGTTATATGGCATTGTGTGTAGAATAGCCAGGATATCCCAAGATTGTCTGGCAGCCAGAAGTTCTAGCTCTTTTAGCATTATGCACCACTAGGTGGTGAGCTAGACTTGTTCCTAAGGCAAGAGACGTTTCAGAGGTGGTTTGCCATTGCCTGCCTCTACGTCATCACGACCCTGGTAGTTCCTTGGAGGTCACCCTTCCAAATGCTAGCCAAGGCTGATCCTGCTTAGCTTCCAAGATCTGATGAGATCAGGCTAGCCTGGGCCGTGTATCGGCTTCCCTGTGGGGAGAAAAACGGTCTATAAATATTTAAACAAACAATGAGAGCTTGCAATTCTGCCAACTGAACTGTCTGAAAGGAGAGATGCTGCTGCATACTGATAAATAAAAATCATACAAACAGCAACAGATAAAAGGACGTCTTCACCCAAAGAGTGATTAACACGTGGAATTCACTGCCACAGGAGGTGGTGGCGGCTACAAGCATGGATGGCTTCAAGAGGGAATTAGATAAGCATATGGAGCAGAGTCCATCAGTGGCTATTAGCCACAAGGTATAGATAGATAAGGAGCTGCGGTGGCTCAAGTGGTTAAGACGCTGAACTGCAGGCTGTGGAAGGTCAGTAGTTCAGCAGTTCGAGACCCGAGTGCCGCATGATGGAGTGAGCTCCCGTCTCTAGTTCCAGCTCCTGCCAACCTAGCAGTTCGAAAGTGAGAAATTGCAAGTGGATAAATAGGTACCACTTCGGTGGGAAGGTAACAGCGTTCCGTGCGCCTTGGTGTTTAGTCATGCCGGCCACATGACCACGGAAACGTCTTCGGACAGCGCTGGCTCTTCGGCTTTGAAACGGAGATGAGCACCGCAACCCTAGAGTCGGATTCGACTGGCTTTTGAGCAAAGGAACCTTTACCTTTACTTATAGATAGGAACTCGCAGTCTGGGGCAGGTGATGCTCTGTATTCTTGGTGCTTGGGGGGGGGGGGAACCAGTGGGAGGGCTTCTAGTGTCCTGGCCCCACTGCTGGACCACCTGATGGCACCTGGTGTTTTTGGCCACTGTGTGTGACAGAGTGTTGGACTGGATGGGCCGTTGGCCTGATCCAGCATTGGCTTCTCTTAGGTTCTTATGTTTACATTCAATTTCTGCCTTGAGCGTCTATTAACCAAGGACAAAGAGGGAGCCTTACCCAGCGAGGCAACAGTCTCACAGTTCTCCAGCATGACTTCGATGTACAATGCTCTCTGATCTACATCTAGAACAGCCCACTCCTCCTCAGTGAAATACACAGACACCTCTTCCATGGTCACGGGACCCTGAAAGAAGAAGGAAAAGTTTCCGCATCTTAGACCCAGGGGTGGGGTTTGCCAACTCTGGCTTGGGAAATACCTGGCAATTTGGGGGTGGGAGCTAGGGAGGATGGAGGTTGGGGACGGGAGCGACCTCAGCGGAGTATAACGCCATCGCGTCCATCCTCCAAAGCAGCCATTTTGTCCGGGGAACTCACTGCTGGAATCTGGAGATCTGCTGTGATTCTGGGAGATCTCCAGGCCCTGTCTGGAGGTTGGCAACTGTAGTTCTACAGCCAAATGTGCCTCAGAATAGAACCAAATATGGCTCTTTTTTATAAAGAAAAAACACAAATCTTTATGTTCTATTGGAGGGGTCGTGGGAAGCGAGAACAACCCGTATGTGAAAAGAATGGCAAAATTGTTATGGGAGTGAAGGGTCTCTTAGGGCCAGGCTAGGAATTACACATAAATTGTGGCTACCCTGGGGATCTGACGTTCTGTGGGAACTCAGTTCCAACATGCTGCCTGGATTTGGATCAGGACCGTGGTGCAGAGGCATTTGTTTCAGCCTAGTCCTGATGTCGTTTTCCCGAGCCAAAATGGCCCTGGGACATGATTTGCCCCATTGGGAGTCTGCAGATGCAGAGTTCTGTGCAGAGCTATCAAGGCAGAGACCATCTTAAGGGTCTCTTTCAGTTGGTTCCAGCTGAAGCTACACAGTTCCCCAAATTACCTCCACAGTTCCACACGATTCCTTGATGTACTGGAGCTGCTGGTCCCCTCCCACACTGGCAGATATTCAGCAAGGTGGCCCATCCAGACCTGTTAATTAGGCTCACCTAGTTCAGCTGTGGATCTGGCATGGGAGGGGGGAATTCACTCTCACCCGGAAGATTCCATGGACACTGCCGAGTGATTGGTTGAGGAGGCCAGGAGGCTATGGCCTGCAGTCTTCTACAAAAGCAGTTCTTGAGAAGAAGAAGTGTTCTCTATCTCTTCCGCTTTGCCCTTTCTGTTCTGTGCCCCTGAGCTGCCCAGAAGACACCTGTGATATGCTCATGGACTCTTTGTCAAGATCCATGTGTTCTAGAAGTCTGGCTGTAGATCGTATCAATCTGTTTGACAGGAGCTGACAGCTCAGAGTGTCAGCAGAGCTGGCTCCAACCGGTTCTGTCTAGTTGATCGCAGAGCTAATTAACATTGACTCAGCATTGGGTCCTGATTGGACAATGCTTGTATACAGGGCTTTTTTGGTAGAGAAAGCCCAGCAGGAACTCATTAGCGTAATAGGCCATACCCCTGACCGTGCAGTTCGTTAGCATATTAGGCCACACCCCGTGCCTTTCCTTGGTTTGCCCGGGCGCCCTGTGGCTGCGGGGAGCCCGGGCAAGCCGACGCTTGGATAGGTCAGGGAAGGCACAGGGAGGCATTTAAATGCCTCCCCGATCCTTCCAGGGCCCCCCTGGCCCACCTGCCTCAAGAGTCACTGGGGGGGGTCACTCTCCAGGCCTTCCCTCTGTAGCCACACAGAGGTTTTGGCTGTAGTGGGTGTGGCCAACTCTGAAGCCAGCCGGAACTCCGTTCCTGTGCGTTCCTGCCCCAAAACAGCCCTGCTTGTATATATGTGATGCTGTACAATGTACCATCCTTCCTGATGGAAACCTGGTGTCTGCGTGAGCATTTTGTCGTTCTGTGCAATATATTGGTGGAGGCTCGTGTGAATAAATTGTACATAGTTTTACACCAAGCCTATAAGACTTACGTCTTCTTTGATACTCTCACACCACACGCAACCTGCAGTGGGCTAGCACCGCGCAAACCTCGACACTCTTTGCCTCCAGGACCCACTGCACTGTGTTAGGACTCCAGTAAGAGGTAGCTACTTAGCTTTCTTGTTTTTTCTGTGCGTTTTTACTGCCACTGAATGATATGCCTCGTTTTCAAAACCTTTCTTCTTGAATTTCTTCAATAAAGCTCCATTTTGCTTTATTGTGTGTGTGTGTCTTTAGGGATGGACATGAGGAACTGGGAAAATGTGGTTTGGTTCATGGTTCATGAAGTGCCCCGTTCATGAACCACAGACTGTCATGAATTTATAGGCGCCTTAAGAACTGGTTTAGTTCATGAAGTTCATGAAACAGTAGAACACCAACCCACCCACCCACATGCTAGAGACACCAAACTTGCAGGGTATCTCTGGCAGACTGTCCTCTACGTGCCCTCCAAGTTTGATGAGGATTGGATTTACGGGATCCAAGTTAAGGCCACCCAAAGAAGGCGTCCCCAGGAAAGAGCTTTCTGGGGAAATGACCGCCTGTCATTTACTCAGGGAGTTTTGGAGACCAAATCCAGGTACAGCTTGGTTACATTATCGCACCAAGGCAGGGTCATCTTTGACAACAGACCCTGGGACCATTTCAGCTGAGAAAAGTGGCTCAGGGAAGAGGCTAAAACCTCTCCTCCCACCACATCATGGGTCAGATTTGAATCAGGACTGGAACTTAATAGGAAGAAGAAGAGAAGAGATTGGATTTATAGCCTGTCCTTCGCTACCAAAGGAGTCTCAGAGTGGCTTACAAACGCCTTTCCCTTCCCCTCCCCACAACAGACACCCTGTGAGGTAGGTGGGGCTGCGAGAGCTCTGACAGAAACCGCCCTTTTCAAGGACAGCTTTTATCAGAACTAGGGCTTGCCCAAGGTCATCCAGCCAGGTGCAAGGGGAGGAGTGGGGAATCAAACCCGGTTCTCCCAGATTAGAGTCCGCGCACTTAACCACTACACCAAACTGGCTCTCAGCAGCCAACAGAGGCACCAACTTTATTCTCTGCTCAACCCTCCAATGAATCTTCTCCTACCTGAACTGGCTGCACCACAGCTTTTCCAACTCTGGCATAAAGGGGAGGTGTCCCAGGACACGTCTCCGGCATCATTCTACCATCTGTGAAACCACAGAAAGGTTTTGTAAGATTTATATACATTTTGTATTTTCATAGTCTTTCTGATGGTCACTTGGATGGGTCACCTTGATGGGCGTCACTCAGCACACTGAGAAGACATGGGGGGGGGGTCTTGTATACTTAGGGAACTCCTCAGGAATGTATATGAATATTAGCGGGTAAATGTTTTTTAAAAACCCTTTTTCCATTTTTATTTATAGTTTTAAATCATTACACAAACAGTATGCTTACACTGAATCATAATCATGAGAGTCTTATGTTTCAATCGTTTTTTGTATCCAGTCATACACTCTTGACCAAAAAAACCCTTCTTGGGCCCCGGTCACACAGAAGATTTTGGCCCGGGAGAGGGACGGATCGGGGGCGCAGCAAACGGGCGTGATCTCACCGCAACATCTGGGAAACGGCGTGCACCCATCCCCGATCCGTCCCTAAACCCGGAAAATCCGCTGCAAAAAAGAACCTCCTACAGCAGCAGCAAGCGTGGCCATGGGATCGCCCACCGCGCCCGTCGTCCAGAGCAATCCAGGCTCCCGAAGGAACTGCGCACATGCACACATGCGCAGTTCGGCAGCCTCGCTCTCCCTTCAGTAGCCCCCCCCCCCCCGGCATCTGATCGTGCCGGGGAGGAACTGCGTGGCGGCTCAGGGGATCTATGTGATCCCGCCGCCGCATGTTTCTTTTGGTGCGGCTTTAAAAAGCCGCACTTTGGCCGTACTTCCCCCCCCCGTGTGGCAGTGGCCTTCAATGGCCTAATGAAGACTGAACTTGTGCAATGGGAAGGGGCTGTGGCTCAATGGTAGAGCGTCTGCTTGACATGCAGAAGGTCTCAGGCGCAAGCCGCAGTGTGTCTAACTGAGAACCCTAAATAGCCCAGCCTACTCTGCGTTTGTGAGAGCCCTATATGGGGTTGACATACGTTGGTTCCAACTTGACAGCATTTGATTATTAATAACAAGGGATGTGAAAGACCTCAGCCTGAGACCCTGGAGAGCTGCTGCCAGTCTAAGTAGGCAGTACTAACCTTGATGGACCGAGGGTCTAATTCACCATAAGGCACCTAGTTTTGGCCACTGTGTGACACAGAGTGTTGGACTGGATGGGCCATTGGCATGATCCAGCATGGCTTCCACTATGCTCTTATCCTCTGTATTCTTGATGCTTAGGGGGCAACAGTGAGAGGGTTTCTGGAGTTGCAGCCCTGCTGGTGGACCTCCTGACGGCACCTGGGTTTTGGCCACTGTGCGACACAGAGTGTTGGACTGGATGGGCTACAGGTGTGATCCAACATGGCTTCCGTTATGTTCTTATCCTCTGTATTCCTGGTGCTTAGGAGCAAGTGAGAGGGTTTCTGGAGTTGAGGCCCTGCTGGTGGACCTCCTGATGGCACCTGGGTTTTGGCCACTGTGCGACACAGAGTGTTGGACTGGATGGGCTACAGGTGTGATCCAACATGGCTTCCGTTATGTTCTTATCCTCTGTATTCTTGGCGCTTAGGGGCAACAGTGAGAGGATTTCTGGAGTTGAGGCCCTGCTGGTGGACCTCCTGATGGCACCTAGGCTTTGGACACTGTGTGACACAGAATGTTGGACTGGATGGGCCATTGGCCAGACCCAACATGGCTTCGCTTATGTTCTTACGTTATGTTCTTAGGTTCATGTGTGTTCGGTAGCCTCCACAAAACAGTGTCAACAATTGAATTTCAGATAAAGGGGAAACTGTGGCAGGTATTGGCCTGCTGTGGCCCCTCCAAGTTTTTAACACCTTGGAGGGGGGACATGAGAGTATCCAGTCTTGCACCCCGTGAACTGAATCCTACCCCCAGATCCAGGAAGCCACACTTTCTAAGAACTAAGTGAGCTGCGGCTGTGAGGGTTACACAAATGATGACCAGAGGAAAACCACCCCCCCCCCCCCGATGCTTATTATCAGGGTTCTTTTTGTAGAAAAAGCCCAGCAGGAACTCATTAGCATAACAGGCCACACCCAACAGCAGAAACTCATTAGCATATTAGGCCACACCCCTTACAGCACAGCTCATTAGCACATTAGGCCGCACCCCCATGTTACCAGAAGTCTGGTCATCCAGCCACACCCACCTTTCCCTTGTTATTCTGTTTACCTTGTTTGTTGTCAAAACCCAGGGCTTTTTTTCGTAGCAGGAACTCCTTTGCATGTTAGGCCACACACCCCTAAGGTAGCCAACCCTAATGAGTTTCTGCTGTTGGGTGTGGCCTATTATGCTAATGAGTTCCTGCTGGGTGTGGCCGTTCCTGTGCGTTCCTGCCCAAAAATAGCCCTGCTTATGATTATACAGTGCCAAGAACTTTTAAAGCTGCGAATGGTATTCCAATATCCTGGAAAGGAGAGTGAAATTAGGTTGAGGGGATGTGGCCCAGAAAACATGCTTTCCCCAACCCGAGTTCCCGTCTGTCCCACAACTCTCACAGGCAGCCACAGGTGAGGAGGAACATATCAAACCCCATTTATTGACAATGTTCCCTCTAAGCTGTGGAGTCTTGTGAGCAAAACTTCTACTTTGTGAGCGACTGGCATTCAAGTTGTGAGCGAGGGATTTGGCTACTGCATAAATTAGTTAGCTCTGGAGCCATCCCTTCCTGAGCTAAGACAAAAAGGTGTGAGCCGGAGTCTAAGAAACTGTGAGCTGGCTCACACTAACTCAGCTTAGAGGGAACACTGCACCACATACATTTTGTACTACATTTGAACACTTTAAAACGTCTGACACTGAATCAGATCCTTCGTCCATCAAGGTCAGTATTGCCTACTCTGACTGGCAGTGGCGTTCCAGAGTCTCAGGCAGAGGTCTTTCCCATCACTTACTACCCTGTTTCCCCGAAAATAAGACCTACCCAAAAAATAAGCCCTAGCAGGATTTCTAGGCATTTGTGGTATAAGCCCTACCCTGATAATAAGACCTAGTGATGAGACTTATGACGATGTTCCAGAAGAAGATGACTTAACTGTATTTGAATAAATGTAGATTGTTGTATTATACTTAATAAAAATAAGACATCCCCTGAAAATAAGCCCTAGTGTGTCTTCTTGAGAAAAAATAAATATAAGACAGTGTCTTATTTTCGGGGAAACACGGTACCTGATCCTTTCCGTTGGAGATGCCAAGGATTGAACCTGGGATGTTCTGCATGCAAAGAGAGTGTGGCTCAGTGGTAGAGCCTCTGCTTTGCATGTAGAAGGCCCCGGGCTCAGTCCTCGGCAGTTCCACTTAAAAGGGTTCAGGTTGTAGGTGATGGGAAAGACCTCTGCCTGAGACCCTGAAGAGCCACTGCCAGTCTGAGTAGACAATACTGGATTTGATGAACCAATGGTCCATCAATTTGATGGACCAATGGACTGCCACTGGGCCATGGGCATGCCTGCCTAAATGAAGCTGCTGAGTGAGACCATTGACCTGATGGGCAGTAGGTTCAGGACAAAGGGAAACACTACTTTACACAGAGAGTGATTAAAATATGGAATTCGCTGCTGGAGGATGGCACGGGAGCAAACAGCTTTTAAAGGTGGATTGGATAGATTCATGGAGGTGAAGTCTAACAATGGCTACTAGCCATGGTGGCTGAGAGGAACCTCCACATTTAGAGGCACTAATCCTCTGAATCCCAGAACCAGGAGGCAACATCTGGGGAAAGCCTTAGCTTCTATGTCCTGTTGTTGGCCCTTGAGCAGAACTGGTTGGCCACTGTGTGAGACAGGAGGCTGGACTAGATGGACCACTGGTCTGATCCAGCAGGGCTCTTCTTATGTTCTTATGAAGGCCTCGGCCTCTGTGCCCTGTTGTTGGCCCTCCAGAGGAACTGGTTGGCCACTGTGTGAGACAGGAGGCTGGACTAGATGGACCACTGGTCTGATCCAGCAGGGCTCTTCTTATGTTCTTATGAAGGCCTTGGCCTCTGTGCCCTGTTGTTGGCCCTCAAGAGGAACTGGTTGGCCACTGTGTGAGACAGAAGGCTGGACTAGATGGACCACTGGTCTGATCCAGCAGGGCTCTTCTTATGTTCTTATGAAGG